AGTTGCTCGATCTAGCGCCGAAGCCGAATATCGGGCCATGGCTATGGCGACGTGTGAGTTAGTTTGGGTCAAGCAGTTGCTCAAGGAGTTAAAGTTCGGAGAAATCAACAAGATGGAATTAGTGTGTGATAACCAAGCTGCTCTTCATATTGCGTCAAATCCGGTGTTCCATGAGAGGACTAAACACATTGGGAACGATTGTCACTTTGTCAGAGAAAAAATTACTTTCAGGAGATGTTGTTACAAAGTTTGTAAAGTCGAATGATCAACTAGTAGATATTTTCACTAAGTCTCTTACTGGTTCTCGTATTAGTTACATGTGTAACAAGCTCGGTACATATGATTTGTATGCACCGGCTTGAGGGGGAGTGTTAGTTTACAGATATGTGATATTACTCCTCTTCCAATGTGGGACAAGACTACACTATCAATAGGGACCTCTTGTATTGTATTTATCATCCAATATCAATAACATATTTTCTCCCGTGCCTTCTCACATCTCCCAACTGAGAAGAGTATTTTCCTACTGGTTGAAGTTTAAAGTTCAGATTCCCTGTTTCAATTTTCCTCCCACCATTCGCTAAAAAAGGATGTAGTTAGGCATCTATCTGTGAATATACATTTGAAGATAAAAGGAATAAGTGATAACATATTGATGATTGATATCATTTGGTTTATCTGATGTCTAGAGTACTTGTATAGTAAAAATCATCTTCACTTGTATTTGAGATTCTTAAATGTCTCATGCACTTTAAACCTTTCTCTTATTCTGCTTTAAAAGCTGTAACATGTAGAAATTACTTTGAGTTTTTTGTTTGACTTCCTTCTCCCCATTGATATGGAATTTGTGGCGCAATCTCTTTGTTCAATTGAACTGGTTTAGTTTCTGTTGTATACAAAGGATATAATTATCCTAGTTCAGTTTATACTTGCCCAAGCAAAGGTCTCTGAAATTGCTATATCATGTGGTAGGTTGGTGCAGGCCTTCCTGCCATAGCATCCTTAAATCGCATAATTTCATCAGGAGATCCCGTCTACCGTATTATTGGGAGTTTGAGTGGTAATACTTTATGACCATTTACCACATAGGTTAGAGATGCAATTAATTATTTGTAATGGTTACTTTGCTTGTTTAAATATCAGAATTTGATGGTATGATGCTGTATATCTTGGTATCTAACAGGTACCTTGGGATATGTAATGAGTGAGGTTGAGGATGGAAAGCCATTCAGCCAAGTCGTTAGTGCTGCTAAAAGCCTTGGCTACACTGAACCAGGTGATAAATGCAACCACCCTAGGTTAATACTGTAAATCACCATAAAGTAGTGAAGATATGACTTACAAAAACAGAAAAATGGGATATGGTACAATCCATTTCGAACTAAGTTTAGAGTCTTACTTTCTATTTATATGCTGCTCCTTCTTTGAGTAATTCTACTTGTTTTCCTGTCAGGCAAGTGTTTCACTGGTACAATAATAATTTTCTGGCCTTTTGTCTAGGAAGTTTGTCTTCAACGCATTCCTTGTAATGTTTGAGAAATCAGACAAACATGAGAAGCGATTAAGAGAATGCATGCGAAAATGTCTTTCACCTGAATTCTTTATATGCTCGCATTACAATGTATCTTCTTAAATTTGTCTAATGTGGTGCACGTGCACATACAACTCTTACTTACATTTAGCTATCTAATTCTCCCCTCTAGTCGGTGCATATACGAGCTTGCTGTACATGTAACCAGTAGGGAATTTGGTGAATATGTCTATAAGTTGATCATTTGACCTTACAAATTTTATAGCAATCTCTCGTGAAAGTATCTTTTTTTTGGGACAGTGACAATCGGTTTCTATATGCTTGGTTGTGAGAAGTTGCATTTGATGCGATATAAATACAACTTGATAATCACACACAAGTTCCATTTTGATCAATTTTAATTGTTAAGAAAATGAACCTTGGGCTTAACTCGACCCAAAAGCTAGTTCATAGGGGTGAGGATTACCCAAGACCACTGTTACAAAATGAATATAGACATACTACAGAATGAATGCAGACAAAATAAATGTAGACGTACTTTTACGTAATGTACATAGCTAGCAGAATTATAAGGATTCACAGCAGATTTATAAGATTTCTGTTTTTATTCTTTCTATAGTTAGGACTCTATGTACTTGTATATATATTTGTTACTTCTTGCAATAATACACAAGGAGATTGCTCCATTTTCTCTATATTTTACATGGTATCAAAGCAGATACATTTGATTCGCCGGTGTTACTTCAGAAAGTTCGCCGGAAGTCATAGACCAGGTCTGGTATGAGGGAGGTACGAGGGGATCAGTTCGGGGTTTCATTTACGATGTTGACTCGATATTTTCGATCAGAATTTTGTGGTTTCTTGTTCATTAGACCTCGGTTGGGTAGATTTCAAAGCATTCCAGATTTTGTCAATTTTGTTTTCTTTGATCAAAATCATCTTTTTCTTTTTTACTTTCCATTTGTTGAATTTGTGTCTGATTACTATCTAAGGACTCCATATTCTTGGTAAAATTCTCCTTTGTGAATCTTTGGCTTGTTGAGCTTTATTCAAGTGAAGATCATTTTGGTGATTGGGTTAGAGGAGATTCTGTTACTTGATCTTTTGGATATTTGTTGGGGTATCTTTTTTAGTGGAATTTTACTGATTCCTCTTCCATTATTTTGATACTTTGAGTGTTCTAGTTGAGCAAATTCTTGGTGGAACTTTTCAATTATATCAGTTGGAACTCTATTCTGTTTGATTCTTACTTATTCTCCGGTTCATTGGGCAAACTTCTGATTCTGTATTCCGTGGGGTAACTTTATTTGTAAAGTTCTGGTTGTGGTCAGTTTGTTGAAGTTCCCTTTTGTTTACTGATTTCGTGGACTTATGGCTACATCTCCTAGTCCAACAATCTTGGTTTCAGATGAGTTTCTAAAATTCCTTGATCAAAAATCAATTAAGGAATCTTCTTCGGTTACTGATTTTGCTGGGTCAGATAAAACATGTCTTATCAACTCTTCAATTAAATGGGTGATTGATTTAAGTGCCACAAATCGCATGACAGGTAATCCAAATATTTTTTCTAGTTTTCGGTCACACAAAACAACCTCTCCAGTTATTGTAGCTGATGGATCAACTTGTAACAGTGTTGGATCTTGGACTGTCAAACCAACTTCCTCTATTACCCTGTCATCTGTATTAAGTCTACCAAACTTGGCCTTTAATCTAAGTTTTGTTCGTAAAATCACCAGAGACCTTCATTGTTGGGTCGTTTTTTCCCCCGACCATTGTTTATTCTTAGATCTTACAACGAAGCAAGTTATTGGTAAAGGATATTTATCAGGTGATCTCTATATCCTTGATGAATGGGAGCCCCGGTCTGTTGCATGTTCTAGTGTTGTGTCTCCTTTTGAAGCATATTGTCGATTGAGATATCCCTCTCTACCTTTGTTGAAGAAGCTCTGCCCTCAGTTTCAGAATATTTCTTCATTGGATTGTGAGTCATGTCGATTTGCAAAACACCATCGCACCTCATTAGGTCCAAGGATTAATAAGCGAGTTGAGTCAGCTTTTGAGTTAGTTCATTATGATGTTTGGGGACCATGTCCTGTTGTTTCCAAAATCGGGCATGGGTATTTTGTCACTGTTGTAGATGATTTTTCTCGAATGACTTGGATTTACTTTATGAAAAGTCGCTCTGAAGTGTTTACTCACTTTGCTGCCTTCTGTGCTGAAGTCAAAACTCAATTCAATGCTTTGGTTCGTATTCTAAGGAGTGATAACGCTAAAAAATACATGTCAGAGTTATTTCGGTCCTACATGAGACAACATGGTATACTACATCAGTCTTCATGTGTTGACACACCCTCTCAAAATGGAGTTATCGTGACGAAGAATAGACATCTACTTGAGACAGCTCGGACACTTTTATTCCAAATGAAGGTCCCTAAATAGTTCTGGGCTGATGCAGTCTCTACAACTTGTTTTTTGATTAATCGCATGTCGTCTACTGTTCTGGGTGGTAATGTACCTTACAGTGTTCTTTTCCTAAACAAGTCATTGTTTCCGTTAGAACCTAAGGTGTTTGGATGTACATGTTATGTTCGAGATGTTCGACCATCTGTTACCAAGTTGGATCCCAAGGCATTGAAATATGTTTTCTTGGGCTATTCTCGCCTTCAGAAAGGGTTTCGATTAGCTTTCGATGTTATTCTAAAGAACTTGGCAAATATCTAGTGTCAACTGATGTGGTATTTTCAGAGACTACACCATTCTTCTATGCACCTCCCATATTTCTACAGTCAAGGGGAGGAAGATGAGTGGCTAGTATATCAGGTTACCTTACTTTGACGGAAGAACCAAATGTTCCTCCATCTCCTAGTTCTTCTATTGAGCAACAATTGACTATTATGCCTTCAGCACCTGCTCCAACTGTGTTAGTCAGACCGCCAATTGTTCAAGTTTACTCGCGGAGGCGAGAGACATATGATAGATGTCCTGTAACAGTTCCTTCGTCATCAGATTCTCTTCCATCTGATCCACTAGAAGACCTTGACCTTTATATTGCTCTTCGCAAAGGTACACATACTTGCAAATCCACATATTCCATTGCTAATTTTATTTCCTATGACCGCTTATCCTCTACGTCTAGAACTATGATTGCTTCTCTAGACTCCATCTCGGTACCTAAAACATTAAAGGAAGCTTTGAATCATCCGGGATGGTCTGATGCAATGCTTGAGGAAATACATGCCTTAAAGGATAACCACACGTGGGATTTGGTGGATTTACCCAAGAAGGGAAAGAACCAGTGGGATGTAAGTGGGTCTTTACAGTTAAAGTTAATCCAGATGGTTCCGTGGCAAGACTTAAAGCCAGACTTGTAGCTAAAGGGTATGCTCAAACTTATGGGGTGGATTATTCCGACACCTTCTCCCCAGTTGCCAAACTCACTTCTGTCCGCTTATTTATTTCTCTAGCTGCTTCAGAGAATTGGCCTCTACATCAGTTGGATATCAAGAATGCGTTCCTTCATGGTGATCTTAGGAGGAAGTGTATATGGAGCGACCACCCGATTTTGTTGCTCAGGGGGAGTATGGAAAAGTCTTTCATTTGAAGAAGTCCTTGTAACTATCATTTGAAGAAGTTCTTGTATGGCTTGAAGCAAAGTCCTTGAGCTTGGTTTGGCAAGTTTAGTGAGGTAGTTCAGGAGTTTGGGCTGAAAATGAGCAAGTGTGATCATTCAGTCTTCTATCGGCAATCAACAACTGGAACTACTCTTCTTGTAGTATATGTTGATGACATTGTTATCACAGGAAGTGACTATGTGAATCCCTGAAGTCTTGCACACTATGTTTCGTACAAAGGACTTGGGCATGTTGAAATACTTTTTGGGAGTAGAAGTAAATCGAAGCCAGAAGGGAATTCTTTTATCTCAGAGAAAGTATATTCTTGACTTACTTGCAGAAACTGGAAAGTTGGCAGCTAAACCCTGTAGTACTCCAATGGTCCCCGATGTTATAAAAGATGATGGCGATCTTTTTGACAGAGAGATACAGGAGGTTAGTTGAAAAATTAAACTACCTTAGTGTGATTCGTCCAGATATTGCTTTTGCGGTAAGTGTTGTTAGCCAGTTCATGTCCACACCAACGGTCAAATATTGGTCAGCTTTGGAACAAATTTTATGTTACTTGAAAGGAGCTCCTGGACTTGGCATATTATATAGTAATCACGGCCATACTCGTATTGAGAGTTTTGCAGATGCCGATTGGGCTAGATCCAAAATTGATAGAAGATCTACTACAGGCTATTGTGTCTTTGTTGGAAGGAACATGGTATCGTGGAGAAGTAAGAAGCAAAGTGTTGTATCTCGATCCAGTGCAGAATCTGAGTAGCTATGTCTCAGTTTACGTGTGAGATTATGTGAATACATCATCTTTTTACTGAAATTGGGTTGGAGCATCCAATTCCAGCAAAACTCTGGTGTGACAATCAAGCTGCCTTCCATATTGCGTCAAATCCGGTGTATCATGAAAGAACTAAGCATATTGAGGTTGACTGCCATTTTATTTGTGAGAAGATTCAGGAGAACGTGATATCCACTGGCTACGTGAAGACAGGAGGGCAGCTTGATTGTATTGTGAGAAGATTCAGGAGAATGTGATATCCACTGGCTACGTGAAGACAAGAGAGCAACAAACTGATTTATTCACAAAGGCGTTGAATGGAATTCGAGTTGATTACCTTGTTACAGAATGAATGTAGACATACTACAGAATGAATGTAGACATACTTTTATGTAATGTATATAGCTAGCAGAATTATAGGGATTCACAGCAGATTTATAGGATCTCTGTTTTTATTCTTTCTATAGTTAGGACTCTATGTACTTGTATATATACTTGTTACTTCTTGCAATAATAAACAAGGAGATTGCTCCATTTTCTCTATATTTTACAACCACGTAAAGAGACAAACTCACTTCCTCAACCAATGTGAAACTCTTAACACTCCATCACACATACATGGTTGGATATGTGGAGCTTGGATAACATAACATGGGGGCATAACATCAGCTTACTAAACATTAGAGATGGGTTTAACTCTGATATTATTAAAAAAGTGGACTTCGGACCTAATTCAACCAGAAAGCTATTTCATAAGATGTGGATCATCCAAGATTTTATAACGCGACTACATACCATATCTTTAACCAATAAGGCATACTAACATAAGCAATTTTCAATTCTTATGGTGGTTGTTTGATTTGTAGAGTTCATAAGTTACCATAGTCAATGCTACCTTTCTCCAAAAAAAAGTTACCGTAGTCATGACCCAATATTCTCTCTTCTACAAGACCGGATTGCCTCTCAGTAGAATATAGTATTTAGAAGTACAACGTATCTTAGAAGGTGATCATATTCAATCTGTGCATCTTTATATATAGCAATAGTAGATTGTCTTTGATCTTCACTGAGGGATCCTTTCCATAGAGCGGATTTTATATACCGAAGGATACAGATTGTTGCATCCTAGTGAATATGACATGGCGAATAAAAAGCCGATTGACAATAACTAGTGGAAATATGAATGGAAAGGCAATATCAGGTCTAGCACTCTCATATACTGTAACTTGTTAATGAACCACTTATATTTCTCGAGATCACTAGGAGACACTAAGAGGCTCCTCCTAACTTGGTAGAAGCTTAACATTTAAATTCATAGAAGTATCAACAGTTTTTCTTATTAAAAAAAGAATATCAATAGTTTTACAATCCATCATATCTGTCTTCTCGAGAATGTTGAGCACATACAATCCGTCATATCTGTCTCTCCAGCTCTATGTGTTGGCGTAAAAGATGAGACTGATTCTGACGAGTCAGAGGAAAAGAAATTGAAGGTTATAATTCTAGTAATATCAATGAATCACCTAATTGAGAAAGATGACGTAGATGAATATGATAGTCTTACTGATTAAAAGTAGAATGGTTTTATCTTTTCTTATTAAATTGATGATTTTATGGACTTTCACTTCATCATTACTAAATATATGTATACTATTTATGTGTCTATTATGATCTCTAACATTGTGTGATATGCGTGTGTGTATATAGGTATAATTGTTTTTCATATTGCACTTATTTTTTTACTAAAGCCCACACTTTAAGTGTGATTTGCACTTTAAGCCTCAACAAGGCTTATCGCCTTTTCTGCACTTTTTGTTTTTGAAAACATTGTGTCTTTAGTTAGGATTCTGGATTTGAATGTTTATATTTATGCACTGAGGAAATAATACTAATATAGGGTCAAAGTTGGCAGTTAAAATATTTCTAGTTACAAACTTGTTCCTTTATCAATTTGAAATCCTTTAGAGGACTTGTCTTCTCATTCTAGTCCATCTAATCCATAATGAATGGATAATTTACTAAAGTCCCTCATGCTTCCGAGGTGATGCAAATCCAAATATTTACTTTCAAGTTCCGGGAAGAACTTACACCATCTGATGGAGACTGGTAGATTGTAAGTACATGAGATGTCGTTAGCAAGTAAACTTTTAAGGAGATTCTAGTGCTTTGTCTGAGAAAGAGATAACATCAATGTTCTAATACATTGTTGAAGACATATTTCTGTATAAGATTGGTGGAGCCATTCGAAAACTTCTAAGGAAATTCTGGTGCCTTTTCTGGCAAAGAAATACATCAATGTTCAATCGATCCTCAAGATGTAGTGTTCTTTTGAGCAGTGATTATACAGGAACAATATGGCCGTGCCAAATGGCATTTGGGAAAAAAGTGGGAAAAAAAAATGCTAGACTTCCATCTCAATTCTTATAAGAACCGTTGAAGTATGAAGGCATTCTTATGTATTTTACACTTTCTTCAGATCCTCGGGATGATCTTGGCGGCATGGATGTAGCAAGAAAGGTTAGGAAACATCTTTTTTCTGATTAAACAAACAGTGGGACCTCAATCCATTTGTATTGCCAAATATTTTTGCTGATTAAAGCATCATCTTTCTTGTTTATCTGGACATACCTGCAGTCTTACAGTCTGCTATATGCTTTACTGTCGGAAGTGTTTAGAAACTATTTAACTTCTGTGATATTCTTGTGCTGAGTATTATCCATTTATGAATAAAGGAAGGTAGCAGAATGGATCCATGGTAATATGCATGCATTCACTTTATGTATCTTGCATTATAACTTAAAGTTTGATCTTCAAAAGGTAAATGTGAAAGAATTTCCCAGTACACCTAAAACCTTAAGGGGTCATTTGGTATGTGGGATAAGGGATTAATAATCCCGGGATTAAATGCAGGACTATTTTATCCTGCGTCTGGTTGAATCTAAGAATCCGGGATTAGCAATCCCGGGGTTAATTAATCCCACAACTGAGTATTATTCTAGCCCTCATTGAGGGTGGTATAATAATCCCGAGACTAATTAATCCCTAGATAAACACGAAAATGACAAAGATGCCATTCTCCAAGGCTCTTCTCCCAAAGTTTTTTAAACAATCTAAGGTTAAAATTGAAAATAAAAGTTTAGCCCAACTTATCAGGTATACACCAAATACATGTTTATATGATACCCCGTATATCCCATTTTTAGTCCTATGAATAAAATATTTTCCAATAAAAATATATTTGCCAAATAATCCCATCATTATTTAATCCCCATATTATAATCATCATTATAATCCCGGGATAACTTGTTCCCCTACGAAACGACCCCTAAAGGAATGGGTGAAATAGCCTAAACCTTTATAAACCACTGTGTAACTCTTTACACAACCCATACAGGAAAACTATATAACTCAACACTCTCTTGCCGTGTAACCAGATTTTGAAGTTCACACGTGAACTTTAATGTGGACTTATTACTGCGAGAATAAGCTTACCAAAGGTTGGCTATGATATCATCATTATGTGAAAAAAGTCTGAGCTTCCAAGGGTGGAAGCCCTTGGAAAGCCTTCATTTAACCCATATGGAGCAATTAAGACCACTCAATTCTCTGTTCAAGAGAGTGTTGAAGATGTATCTCATCAAATACTTTGTTATACTCTTTCCTTATTTGATACTTGGAATGATGATGTCTTAGGGGAACACAATAGTAGTGATTTAGCAATAATCATTTGTGCAGACTGTGATGGAAAACATATCTTATCCAACTTGATCTAGTTACTACTTGGTTCCTCAGTGCTGTACTTGCATGCTTATTTGCCTAGTTATACTTGGTTTTTGGAAATTTTGAGAAGTTGAACATCCCTCATAACAAGATTTTGTTTCGATGTCTTCACGATAGGCTCTAATTCTTGCTCGACTCCTTGGGCGGCGTATTAACTTAGATGATATGAAGGTTAGGACACGTGTCACTATGCTTCTTAATTTTGTAACTAGTTTAATTAGCTTCAGTAACCTTGATACAATTGTGNTATGCTTCTTAATTTTGTAACTAGTTTAATTAGCTTCAGTAACTTTGATACAATTGTAAAGTCCTTTTCAGATTGAAAGCTTGTATCCTGAAGAAATGGGACCAGATGTGATGCCTCTGGAAGACTTTCTAGCTAATGGTCTTCCCTTACTTGATAAGAATATTGAAGATAGGATTAAACAAGCTTCTGCAAACGGGAATGTTCTGCGTTATGTCTGCTTGATTGATGATACAAGGTAATTCCTTATATTCGTTTCTAGTTTGCTCATCAAATAAGGACAACTTGATCCTTTATCCTAATCACAACTGCAAGTCACCACGCCTCTAGTAGCCTAAACAAAAGCTTGCTCACTGATGGGAGTGTTATGGCAAGTTTTCTCCATGACTTCAGAAGAGCTTGACTGAATTTCTCTGCCACAATTTTGGAAAGTAGATAAGGAATCCAGTAAAGGTACTGTTGAGCAATGAAGACTATTGTTTAGGACAAATTTATCTTAGAAAATAATATCAACTCCTCTAACAAATGCTTTAAAAACTAAGACAACTATACCCTAGGGTATGGGCCAACGGTCAATGAAGTGGGGGTAAACCTTGAAGATAAGGGTTCAAACCCCAGCAGAGACAAAAAATTTTGTCCATCTGCCTTAGTGGTAGATTTACTCGGTATCTGTGCAAGTGAGAGGTAGCAGGTATAAAATAGTCAAGTGTGCGCAACTGGCTCGTACACCACCATTATCAAGAAATAAAATAAAATAAAAGATAACTACACCTGCTTTGACATATAAGTTTGAGAGATACTATCCCCAAATCAATTGTATTTGTTAATCTGTTTTATGTTAGTGGAGTCCTACTAATAATTTCACTATGCCCTTGTCATCTGGTCAGCTGTTCACCTCTCCTGTGTGTGAGCATGTAATTTTTTCCCTAATGCAAATTACTCCTAAAAATATTCCAAAGTAGCTTTTAATCATTTCATAGAGTTTTAGGAATTTCTCTATATTTGATTTGATTTGTTTTGTGTTTATTTGTGTTTTGTACATATTTAGTATCATTTTAAATCATGAAAATCATTAAAAATATTTTTTTCTTTATTTCATTGCATCTTTTAGATTTTAATTGCATTTTAAAGATTTAATCACGTATTAAAATACAAAATAACGCATTGGTCATTTTCCTTTGTATGTACGAGTTTAATTAGTCAACTAAGTTTATTTTTAATTCATAGTTTAATTAGTGAACATGGGCAGGCTATTTTTGCCAAAGTTTGGTCTTAAATAGGAATTTAGCTAATTGGAAACAATAAGGGAGGAAGAAAAACAAAAGGGGGCTGCCTGCTCTATAATCCAACTNCGGAAATCACCTCACGGCGGCGAACAGTCTCCAAACAACCCAAAATCATCACCAAACAAGCCCCATCCCCTCCTTTTTTTCAAATCCCCTAGCCTCGTCCTTCAAATCCTACTAGAACTCCACGAATTGTAGATCTAGACATTCAAAAAAACCTAACCTGCCCCTTTTCGTTTTTTCCCAAATTTCGGTTTGTTTTAGGTCGAAACCAACATCAATCGATCACTCTCAGTGAGAGCTATCGATTGATGGTGGTTTGGTTTTATTTCATGATCGTCGAAATTCGGTTTAAACTTCAACCACCGGCGAGAAATCTCTAGAACTTATCACCTCCTTCCTTTTCTGTTCAAACCTTCAATTCTCCATGAATTTTTGACCTATGAAGTGTTTATCGGACTAAAAGTCTAAATAAATACTCACAGGTCAAAAATCTCTGGTGATTTGAAGTCACAGACCCATGGTGCTTCGTTCCTTTTCCTCGAAATTGATCATCTCATGGCTGGAAGTACGAGCCTTGATGGGTAATCCTTTTATGCTTTTCTTAATCTCGCTTTTTTTAGTTGTTCAGTTTACTGTTTGATTGTCAATGGGGTTTCAATTTGTGTCGTTTATATGATAGCAATTCTGTTTGCACAACTAGATTGACAGTTGATTGCATGATAAATTAGGGTAATTAACAGATTTGTTTAGTTTAATTGAAAGTATGTTTAGTTAGTTTTGATTGCATTTTGTTGAATCCCTTAATTGAGATTAGGATACAGATTGCTGCATTTTTCGGTTTTGTTTCTCGTATGGGTTTCTTTGAAGTCAGGCCTACATTGTCATGGACCATATGGCCAGGGTCATTTAGCCGAGGCCCAGTCGGGTGTTTGTTTGGCAGATTTAAATAACAGAAATAAAAGAAGATGAGGGATCAACAACAACAACACCAACAACATAGTGAAATTCCACAAGTGGAGTCTGGGGAGGGTAGAGTGTACGCAGACCTTACCCCTACCCCGAGGGAGTAGAGAGGTGGTTTCCGGTAGACCCTCGGTTCAAGAAGACGAAAAGACGAAAAGAGAGACAATATATTAGTACTATCAACAGAAAACAATAGAAATGATGACAACAACCTAAGAACCAAAGAATAGATGCAAAACACTAACAATAACCAGTAGATAAGGCCCGACACAAAGAAAAACTGGAGAATAGTGTGAACACAACATGAACCACTAGCAGTCTAAGACTAAACCCTATCATACTAGCCTCACACCTATACAAAGGAAAAAAATGCTCAACTACCTCCTAACCTACAAAGCACTATCAATAGTTGTAAATATCGGGACAGTAAAGGGTAGTTTTTAAAATTAACTTTAGGGAATATTTTCTTGTTAACTAACTTGAGCCTTCTAGAAGGGAATAGAAAGGACTGTTTGGCAAAGAGAAGAGTACGATGGGTAGGGTATTAGGGGCTATTGAGTAAAAACAGAATTAACAACAACAAACCCAATGTAATCCCACACTATAACAACAACATACCCAGTATTATCCCACACCGTGGGGTTTGGGGAGGGTAGTGTGTACGCAGACCTTACCCCTATCTTGTGAGGATAGAGAGGTTGTTTCCAATAGACCCTCGGCTCAGGAAAGCATAAGCACCACATTAATGAAAATATAGACAAGAAGGGACAGTACCAAAAAGCCATATAAAAGCAGAATAAAAATAACAAGATAGTAAGGTGATCAATAATGAAAGGAAACAACGGTTAGTCATAAAAACCTACTACCGATAGAAAGCGAGACTGCGTGCCAATACTACTGTTATGAACACTCTAGACTACCTACTCTACTACCCTAATCCTCGACCTCCATACCTTCTTATCAAGGGTTATGTCTTCGGTCAGCTGAAGCTGCGCCATGTTTTGCCTAATCACCTCTCCCCACCTCTTCTTTGGCCTACCTCTACCTCTCCATAGGCCCTCCAGTGTCAACCTCTTACACCTCCTTACCGGGGCGTCTGTTTTCTTCCTCCTCACATGACCAAACCACCGAAACCGCGTTTCCCCCATCTTGTCCTCAATAGGGGCCACACCGACCTTGTCGCGAATAACCTCATTTCTGATCCTATCTAACCTGGTGTGCCCGCACATCCATATCAACATACTTATCTCTGCTACCTTCATCTTCTGGACATGAGCGATCTTGACTGGCCAACACTCAGTCCCATACAACATCGTTGGCCTGACCACCACTCTATATAACTTACCTTTAAGTTTCGGTGGCACCTTCTTGTCACACAAAACACCGGAAGCGAGTCTCCATTTCATCCATCCCGCCCCAATACGATGTGTGACATCTTTATCATTCTCCCCATCCCCTGAATAATAGACCCAAGGTACTTAAAACTTCCTCTTCTAGGGATGACCTGCGAGTCCAGCCTCACCTTACCTCACCTCCCCTTCCCCTTCTTGAGTCTTGCCACTGAACTTACACTCAAAGTATTTTGTCTTGGTCTTGCTCAACTTGAATCCTTTAGACTCCAGGGTTTGCCTCCATACCTCTAATTGCGCGTTCACACCGTCTCGTGTCTCGTTAATCAATACAATATCATCTGCAAATAGCATGCACCACGACACCTCCCTTTGGATGTGGCGCGTCAGTTCGTCCATCGCTAGAGCAAACAAAAAAGGGCTGAGTGCCGACCCCTGATGCAACCCCATCATAACCTGAAAATGGTCTGAGTCCCCACCCACTGTCCTCACTCGGGTCTTTGCTCCATCATACATGTCCTTAATCAACCTAACGTAGGCAACATGTACACCTCTAGCCTCCAAACATCTCCACAAAACCTCCCTCGGAACTGTATCATTAGCCTTTTCTAAGTCGATGAACACCATATACAAGTCATTCTTTCTCTCCCTATATTGCTCCATCAATCTCCTAACAAGGTGGATGGCTTCTGTAGTCGAACGCCCCGGCATAAACCCGAACTGGTTCTCGGAAATAGACACACTCCTTCTCACCCTTAGCTCTACCACTCTTTCCCAGACTTTCATAGTATGACTAAGCAGCTTGATACCCCGATAGTTATTGCAATTTTGGATATCACCCTTGTTCTTGTATACAGGAACCATTGTGCTCCACCTCCACTCTTCGGGCATCTTATTCGTTCTAAAAATGACATGAAATAATCTAGTGAGCCACTCCAAGCCTGCCTTGCCCGCACTCTTCCAAAACTCCACCGAGATTTCTCCGGCCCGGTCTCTTTGCCTCTGCTCATCTTACGCATAGCCCCCATCAACCTCATCAACTCTAATCTGCCTACAATACCCAAAGTCACAACGATTCCCGGAGAGTTCCAAATCACCCAGTACAATGCTCTTGTCCCCCTTCTCGTTCAAGAGACTATGGAAGTAGGTCTGCCATCTCCGACGGATAAGCCCCTCATCCAACAAAACTCTACATTCTCGTCCTTGATGCACTTCACTTGGTCTAAGTCACGCGCCTTCCTTTCTCGCGCCTTGGCTAACCTGAACAACCTCTTATCCCCACCTCGGCCCTCGAGTTCCTCATGAAAACGACTAAAAGTTGCAGTCTTGGCCGCCGTAACTACTAGCTTTGCCTCTTTCTTAGCCAACTTATAATGCTCCTTATTCGCCCTCTTCTCCTCGTCTACACTTTCCACTAGCTTCAGATACACTGCTTTCTTGGTTTTCACTTTTCCTTGCACCTCTCCATTCCACCGCTAGTCTCCCTTGTGATCACCAGAGTAACCCTTTGAGACCCATAATACATCTCTCGCGGCTTCCCTAATGCACTGCGCAATCGTGGTCCACATAGCGCTTGCATCCCCACTACTCCTCCAAGCCCCCATAGTCAACAGCTTGACCTACAACTCCTGTGCTTTAGCTTCCGCCAAGGCTCCCCACTTGATCCTATGTTGGCTATACATCGCCCTCTACCTCGTGATGAAGGTCCATGACCATGAGCCTATGAAGGGTCGAGGGGTTCTCACTAGGGATGGCCTTGCAATCTGTGCAAAGACCTCTATCGGACTTCCTGCAGAGTAAATAATCAATTTGAGTCTTGGCCACCGAACTCCGAAAGGTGACCAAGTGCTCCCTCTTCTTCGGGAAACTCGAGTTTGCTATCACCAAATCAAATGCTCTAGCAAAGTCCAGCAGAGACGTTCCTCCTCCGTTTCTTTTTCCAAAACCAAAGCCACCATGCACATCATCATACCCCCAGACGTCGCTCCAATGTGGCCGTTGAAATCTCCTTCTATGAAAAGCTTCTCGGTGTGCGGGGTACTACGCACCATCTCATCCAAATCCTCCCAGAAACGCCTCTTGACTTCCTCATCCAAGCCTGCTTGGGGTGTGTACGCACTGAATATGTTCAAAGTAAAACCTCCAACAACTAGCTTAATAGTCATCAGCCTGTCATTCACCCTCCTAACCTCCACCACTAGTTCCCGGGGGTCCTTATCAACCAAGATACCTACCCCGTTCCTGCCCCCAGCCTCCCAGAATACCATAGTTTGAACCTGTCCACATCCCGCGCCTTATCTCCTACCCACCTAGTCTTCTGTACACAAGCTATATTAATTTTCCTTTTCTCGAGAATCTTCGCTAACTCTACAGATTTTCCAGTCAAAGTTCCTATGTTCCAAGACCCCACTCTCAGCCTAGTAGCTCCCTTAGCCCTCTTACCCCCTTACTCCCTCCCCCGCGCTGACACCCCCCGAGGACAAGACCTTACCCTACCATCGTTCACCAAAACCACTATAATGTAGGAGTCACTACGCAAGCACTATCCTGAAAATAAGCGACAAAAATAAAATGAATTACCGAAATATAATCTACCACTAAATGTCGCAAAACAGGTGAAATAAAATAAAGGAACTAACGGGAACTATAATCTACAACTAAAGGTCAGAAAAACAGGTGAAGAAATAAACTAAAGGAATTAAAGGAAACTATAATCTACAACTTAAGGACAGAAAAATAGGTGAAGAAATATAATAAAAGAGCTAAAGGGGACTATAAATCTACAACTAAAGGTCAAAAAGAAAATGTGCAAAAATAGAGCAGAACTACTAGGCGATATATGAAATAAAGATTCAAAATAAAGATGTAAACAGGTAGATAATAATATAAACAAGTAGGCAAAGCTATCACTAATGCAATTAATTTTACAATGCTAGGGCAAATACTAACTAAATATTCAAGAACAAAATAGGCAGGCAAGGAGATACAATTACACTAAAATATCAAACTATTGAAATATCAAGACAAGAGAGGAAAAATAGAACCTGGATTGCAGCCCTTGAAGTTAACGGAAATCTGGCCGGCGGTGATGGATTGCGACGAGCTGGCTGAATCCCAAAACGTCTCCGTTTCAAATGATCGAATCCAAATTTCTTCAGAACCTGTTATGGACGTTCCTTTCTTGAAATGGGGCTAGGAATTAGGTGTAGAAAGTTTTGCACTTGAAAGCTTTCCTGAAAGAGAGAAAGGCAGATAGGAGGAATGTAATCCCACACTGAAAAAAGAAAAAGAGAATCTGAGGAGCAGCCCCTGAAAGTTGTTATAAAAGGACACTCCTTCACTCTTTGCATTCATTCACACTCACTCATTCACTAACATTCATTCTCACCTCACTCACACATTCACACACGCGCGTCTCACACTCAAATAGAGCTAAAAACAAGTTCTGAATTCAAAATTTGAATCTCAGATCTGAAAAATACAAACAAACTTTTAAAAAAAACAAACAAAGGAAAAACAGAGTAGGAAAGGAGATTAGGAAGCTGTTTCAGATTTCAGTAGAAAGAATTAACTCCAGGCTGGCATGGCTTTGAGGTTCACTCAAGATCCGGATTCCCTCGGGGATTATTAATTCGTATACATAAGGAATATTTAACAAAGCAGACCAGCACTTTTTATTCATTAATAGCCGTTACATGGGAATACATCAAATAGGAAGTTCGTCTGCTCAATATTTCTGGGATTTTAAAGGTGATTGAGCTGTAGAAGTGCTGATTTTTTTGATTTTGCTGTTTCTGGATCTGCTGAGCTTCATCCTTCAATTCTTTTGCCTTTATTTGGCTATTTCAAGCTTGTTTCCAGGTTTAGGTACACACAAAATCTTTTGTACTCATTTTCGATCTCTATGACTAATTGCTTAAATTCTCTTTAAATGTGTGGAATGAATCCTGTTTAGCCTGAGTTCTGTACGTGTAAGTCTAAAACCACTCTTCTAATTTGCCTTAAACTGCCTCGATGACTTATGTCCTGTGATTATGAATGAATTAATAAGATCATGTTCACTACAGAATAATTTAATGGCTAGTCATGAAGCTGCAGTGATTGTATGTTCAGTATGTATAGTTGTCTGTCAGGTGTAATTGAAGCAGCTATTTCTGGAGGTTTCAAAATCATTATTTGATGTATCCATTTAGCCATGTAATTCCGAATTTGAAACAATCATGTGTTAATGCTTGAGAACAGTTTCCGTTTGTCCTCATTTGGTAATGATGTAGGAAGGTTGTACGTAAATCCGAGTAGTAGTTAATGTTAGAGATTCAAATTAATTTTATGTAATAAATCAACACTGGGATTTCAAATTTAATTATCATGTATTAATTTTGAAACGGTACGTAAGTATTTCCATTTTTATCATGCTGTATGTAGAACCTTGTTGAAAATCGAAATTGGATTCGTAATTTGGTGAATCTCAAATCCAGAAATTACCGGGCCATGTGATCAGTCCAGGCGAAACTGTTTTTGGTTTAGAGTCAGATGTACTCTGGACTATACGTATCTGGGCTCAATTGCAGGCCCATTTAGAAGCTTGTAACCTCATGTGCGTAAAGGCCTGCCACTTTCAGAAGGGCCTAACTCTTTGGGTTTCACTTTCCCTAGCCCAAATCGAACCTAAACCCAGACCTGCTGAAGGTTTTAACGTGAAAGTTTTGACCAAATTCATCCTGTAAAATTATGATTCGGTCACTAAATCGCTTTTAGCCAAATAAAGTAATAGGAAGCATGTAATTAATTCACCTAGTGTTTTTTTCCCAAATACATAATGCGAGCATTGTTAATTATCTAGATAAGCTGTTTGAAATTGACTTACCAATTGTTGCTTCCTTCGCACTAATGTATGTTGGCCTTCAGTTTAAATGAACGATTCCGTTCACCCCAGACCTGTCCTAGCTGAAATTGATTTATGAGCTTGCCTCTCTTTTAACACAAACATCCATCCCCAAGATTCATCCATGATCAGTGACCTCTATGATAATCCCAAATCTTAGAAAATAATTAACTTATGAATATGCGTAGAATTCTTTAAGCGCTCTTTTAATCCATTATCATGATTATGTATCCGTTCGTATGACATAATTATGATCCCAAAAATAAATCAAGGTACGCGTTCGCGCAACTTTGGCCAAACAATCTCAATAAATAATTAAGTGTTATTAATTGTGTACACGTACGCGTGACATGATTTTGACACCCGAACAAAACGGATACACACGTGATTCGTTTCAAAGATAATTCCATAACAAAATAATTTAAAAGCGATAAAAGATGAAAATGCACATAGGTTTAAAATACGTAATAATCCGATAATTAAGCCGATTGTAAATTGTAGAGCGACCGTGCTAAAACCACGGAATCCGGGAGTGCCTCACACCTTCCGGGTTAACAGAATTCCTTACTCGGTCTTCTGTGTTTCGCAGACTTAAACAGAGTCAAATTTCCTTGAATTGGGATTTAAAATAAACCGGTGACTTGGATCACCTTAAATAATTATTTCAAGTGGCGACTCTATAAATTAAATAAATAATCCCTATTCAATAATGTCACTTAAAGTGGAAAAACTCCTTTCCACAAAAAAGGAGTTGTGACACCGTGCGCAACCAATTAAAGAAAGTGTTAGAAGTACAAATCTGAAATTGCATAGATGGGGCAACATTGATATATTTTTAAACGTTAGTTCCAGAAATAATTTCATTTATTAGTTTTTCTATTCATGTATTTGGGGAGGGGAGATGGGTGTCATAATAGTACTCTAGATAGGATGGATCAATATCTGAACTTCTTGCATCTCTTAGGTGGTAACATGTTGTAGGATTGGTGGGAGTGTTGTTATCTTGTTCTTGTACTATTTCTGTGCCATCTATGCAGCAGTTTAGTAAAAGACTTTACCTATCAAAAAAAGCTTTAATCATAATTTTCTCGAGACTTATGTTGGCAAAATCGTTATAAACTCTTGTATTCAGTATAACGGCAATTGAAAAATGGGAAGCAAAAAACTATTTGCCTCATTCTACCTTAAGGTATTTGTATGGATGTATTTGGATGTAATACAGTAACCCGTTCATATGATATGATGGCTTCATTTGGATGCAAAATGATCGTCCTCGTTTGAATATATTCTCTCCATAGTGGTAGATTATGTGTTTGGTTTTGTTTCTAGGCTAAAAGCATATGCCTTCAAGCTTCAGTAGTTCAGTTCCTCTTGTCTTCTCCGTGGAGGGGTTTGGTCTAACTTCATAACGTTTGAGATTTCATTTCTTTTGTTCTCTAGCACAAGGCTATATTAAGAAGTATCTATTTACTTGTTGACTGAAAAAGAAATAGTAGATATTTCTCTTTATTGGTTATTGAGTGTTTGACCTCTTTTTCAAAAAAAAAAAATCTACTTTCGAACTATAATGATTTGTTCTAGCTAAATCAACTGCTACAAACAGCTCCACTTAAAACAAACAGTGAATAAGAAAGCGTCTGCTGCTTGGGAAAAAATAATTATTGAAAGAACTTTTGAGTACATGACTAACGTCTCTCACTTTCAGATGTGAAGTTGGCATCCAAGAAGTCCCAAAAGATTCTGCTTTGGGAAGATTAAGGGGAAGTGATAATGTGGTAAGCATTTTGCACTTTCACCTCCCTTTTTGCTGTTTCTCTGGTCCCTCACTTCTATTCTCTGTTCGAAAAATTGTTTTGCGATGTTCGTTATAGTATCAAGGCAAAACATTTTTTTTATTGTCTAAGGCCCTGTTTGGGACATTTGCGAGGTCTAGAGTCTCAGACTGTCTCGAGAGTGATTTTGAGGTGTTTCCCTACCTAAATCACGATCACTATTGGATTATGCAATTTTGACTTTTCACGTTTGGGCAAAAACTGCTAATAGGCATACAAATACCATCATGCTGTGAATTTAAAGAAAGCTTATTTATCATCTCTTAAAAAGATGCAGACATCTTGTGCATGTCTTACAACCTTAGCCATGACTCATGAGGCCCATTGACAGTTGACATGGGTGTCGCAGCATGCTGAGTCTCTCTTTGAACAACTATTAGTATCTGTTCTCAGGCCGAAGCCTATATTTGTCATTACGCATCATCTGGTGTCACCTTGCAAAACTTTGTGCAGTTTAAGGTCTTAGATTCTACTTAAATTTTAAGTTGCATCCCTTAAACATGGGAGGTTATACGAACAATAGATCAGTGACTGCTTTTGTTGAAGAATGCCTATGAAGATTGATAATCTGTATTCATTTCTCTGCAGCTGGAGATATACAGCCGTTGTTACGAGAAACAACCACTGGTTATCCAAGGTGCTGGAGCAGGAAATGATACCACAGCAGCTGGTGTCCTAGCTGATATCCTTGACATTCAGGATTTATTCCCTCAACCGAGTGTTGTACACCGTGGACATTGAAGACTCAGATTTGTGTCGCTTAATTTAACATCTGATCTTCAAAGAGGAAATACGGACTATTCTTGACCGTCTGCTTCCAGATTGGAGATTGAAATCGGTGTCAGCCAAGCACATCCAATTTTGAAAAATTTATCGGACACACAAGAGTCCCTTGTCTATTTACAGTAATAATAAATTATGTGATTTCTCTCCTCTCTTGTCAGTAGTGCATAACGACATAAATGGAACTACTGCATACGGTGACACTGAAATGGCACAGCTACAAATTGAGTCCTGTGTTGGCCTTAGCGCAGGACAAAGTTTCAGGATTACACTTCAGCTTATAATCAGTTCAATTGTTAATGACCATTTTGGTACTTGAACCGTTGATGCTATGACAATTTTTAGAGAGCCATCTCTTCATTATGCTTTTCAATGTATGAAGTGATTTGAGATCATGCTCATAATCTCCATTTGTTCAGATGATCAGTATCCATGTTAATGAAAACAATGGGTTGTTATAAGGTTGGAGTCAACCTTAAGCATTGAAAAATGATGTTGGATTAATAAAGCTACAGAATAGAAACAGCAATAACATCATAACAAATACAGAAGAATCGTAGATGTAGAAAGCCTAGTTCATTGTACAAACGTTAAATTGCGACAATTAAATCAGCACGTTGATGATGTTAAGAGTGGTAATATGAACACATAAACAGACTAATTTTATTCTTTCCTTCCCTCATTATGTTAACTACTAATACAATCACAAGACACCATCCCAGCACTGTGTAAATATTGCAGGCCACCAATCTGGAAATCCAACTAAATACCAAGAGATACTTGAGAAATAGTTGTCCTTCACAAAACCTTTTTTCATGACAGGATCTAAAACTCGGCCATTGTTGTACGATCAAAGTAGCAACCATTAGGCCCTCCATCTGGCAAAAGAGCTAGCATAACAGGGCCTTCAGCTCCTTCTTCAACAGTCATGGTCCCAGCGTGCCAGGTTAAATCCGTATTGACAAATCCAGGATGGACACAATTGATACACATTTTAGGATACCTTCTAACGAGAAGTCTGGTGTAAGCATTAAGAGTGGCTTTTGATATGCTATATGCTGGTGCGATCATCTGCCACCCGTTCATTTCAAGAGCATCTTGTTCCAAATCATCCAAAAATTTCTGCAGAATCTTATAAATTTTATCTTCTGTCAGGTTTTCAATATCTCCAAGCTCCTTTCTCCTCTCTTCATTTGGAACTAGCTGCATGAGAACAATAACTCAATAAGATATAGCAAATGTTAAAATATTACAACAACAACAACAACCCAGTATAATCCCACTAGTGGGGTCTGGGGAGGGTAGTGTGTACGCAGACCTTACCCCTACTTCGGGGACTTGGTTGGAAGTGGAGGGTGCTTACCACTAGAGCAACTCACTCCTGTCTCAAATGTTAAAAGATTATGTACCCATATTGTTGTGGTGTAAAAGTTGAATCATCGTTTTGCTTTGATTTGCTATAGTTAATGCTATCCCTAATAAGCCATCATCAAGAGAAAAATCTCGATTATTCACATTATATTAGTCAATCATAATAGAATTCAACTTTGTAAGGGTAATTGTTGTTACTGCCTTCATTGCAGCATCTTTTCTTCTTCTTTTTTTCTTTTAAATATAACGGGTGGTGACCATGTACTGGAAACTAGATCACTTAACGGGTGGTGACCATATACACACACAGGAACAGTGAATGTGCTGATAAGCAATTTATAGGCACGGACTTCGGCTATATGGTTACTAACTTTGCTCGGGCAAAGGAAATTCACAAAGATGCTTTATTCACATCGATATTTCCAGAAATGATAAGAGTGATGGTCTAACGTACCTTTAATGCACCTCTACGGGAGGAGACATTAACAATTCTTGCTAAAGGGGAATTTTGTAGCAGCGGAAGAAGAGCTTCAGTAACATTCTTAACACCGTAGTAATTAGTATCAAAGCATAATTTGGCACTCTCATAGGTTAGTTTGGTCACAACTTGAAACAGATTGCCAGCTTTTCCTGCAAACTATTTATAATAATAAGTTTACGGGTAAATCCCATTTATAGCAATCTATAAAATACTCAATTGAATATAACCATAAGATCCAAACTTTAAACTCTATAGTTTCATCCTTATAGGTTTTTAGCAATAAACCCATCATATTTTTAAAATTATGGGTTCAGAGCTACTATCAGTTGCAATTTTAATGAATTTTACACATAAATTTATACATTGCATCGGAAGTATTGGGTTCATATGAACCTAGTGCTATGAAACTGCATCCGCTCTAACCATAAGTGCATGATTAGTGAAAACGACAAAGCAGGAGAGAGGCTAGGGGTTGTGTAGCGACTAAGATGAGATAAGGAAGGATGGGATCACCCTCATGTGGTTTTGTTCTATCCCATCCCTATGGATTACAACAGAAAAGAATATCTCCAGACTAGTTCAGAGCACGACCAGAGACAAAACAAAGGGACTTCCGTCCACCTCAAATGTTAAGGACCAATATTTCAGTTAGATATGGGATTGAATCACATATCGCTTTACCATGTGAAATCCATAATAACATAAGACCTAATCTTTGAGCAAATTATCTTACCAAGTCTACAGGATCTATGTTCAAGGTCCTTAGGACATCTTCATCAACTACAACTCCACCACGTCCAGCATTATTTACCTGCAGAAATTAAATCAGCAGTGTTTTGCACTATTTGCTTCAAGAATCGAATGAAAAGTAATATACATAAGTCGTTGCATCTTATCTCTTCTTTTTTTTTAATAACCGAGAAATCTCCGAGGACCAGTGGTACATGGTTTGAAACTCGGTAAATAATGGGCAATGGCCTTCTACCGTTCTCAATTTAAATATCAGGCTTTTGTTTGCGGCAGTGTTCCAGCTCGTGATGTGCGCCAAACCCGCACATCATGCACTGTACTCTTACCACTAGACGTAAGACCGGGGGCCAAAAGTCTTTGAATCTTATGCCAACATAAAAAGTTTTGATCTCACACAATGTACTTAGATGGAAATTTATCTCCAGTAACTCTAAGCCACTATCATGAGAAATTGGTCTGTTCATAATCTTACCAGAATATCAAGCCTCCCATATTGTGTTTGTATGAACTTTGCCAAGGACTCAATGCTCTGAGCATCTTGAACATCAAGCTGATGGAAAACAATAGTTGGAAAACCTTGTTTATTCAGCAAGGATATTGCTTCCATTCCCCTCTCCTCGTTTCTCGCTGTTAAGATCACCGTCACTCCTGAAATTGCAAGCTGCTTGACAATCTCAAAGCCAATTCCCTTGTTTGCTCCCGTAACCACTGCATACCTACAAGCATATCCCATCACTTCAGTCCAAAGTTTCTAACCTTTTCTCCCTTAGAATCCTGTAGGAAGAAGGGATAAGAACACCATTTCAAAAGAAGAAACACGATAGAAAGAAAGAGGTACCTTTCAGGTGCCTTCTCTACATTAACTTCCATTGCTAGAATCCTTTGAGGTTAGAAGATCTTCTGAGCAGGTGCTTTCTGACTTTATCAACACGACGAATAATCAAATTTTTATCGGCGTTATCAAATTAAACCATAGACTAAAATGTCATGTATTGTTCTATATTTTGTTGTGAGAGAACTTTAGTCAAGGACAGTAACAACTTAAGTGCTACCGTGATATGTATGTGCGTATTTCAATTTTTGTCTTTAGTTTTATTTTAAAGATGACACAGATCGATGAGGCAAAAATTATCGTCCAGAGAGGTAAGATATTGGCATTTTCAGGTACACGACCTCCTAGCATTTTACCAATTACTCCACTTTCAGGAAAAAGAAACAGGTCCAGTCAATATGATCGAGACTTGCTTATTATTTTTCTTTCAGTTTGGTCAAGATGGTGTTTCATCCAAGAAAGAAGAGGAAAATAAGAAAGGCAAGTGAAAATTATGTTGAGAATACCATACCTATATATCTATAGGGCATTGTATTGTATGCAGTTGAGGACTAAGTGAAGCTTCTAAGAAACAACAGAAGAAGATATGGATTAAACAGTTCAACCCTTTCTGCTAACTTTAAAAACAAGAAGACATCTGGAATGAAACCTTACCAGCGAAGCATCCACATATTAGAAATTCAAACTATAAAGAATTTAAATAAATTACTAACCTCATTGTTCAGAAACTCAACATGTTGATCAGCAACAATAAACTAAACTACCAAGACCGAAAATAAACGTAAAACAGCTCATTTTTATCAAGATAGAGAAAGAAACAAAGGGTTTGCAGTGAAAAATGGATGGACTCACCTGCAACGGGAGAGAGAGCATAAATTTGGTGCGGAATCAACAACCCCTGAGTTCTTCAAGTATAATAAAGCAAATGGGTTTCTATGCTTAATTGACATATTCAATGACATATTTTTCTTCACTTTATGGCTATATAAAGGCCTTGTAATAGATAAGAAAATACACACAATTGAAGAAGAAAATCTTTTCCTTCTCTCTATCTCCATTTCTTGTTCATGTTTTACTAAATTACTTTTATTTTATAACAACATTTCTTGTTCATATTTTACTAAATTGTTTTTATTTTATAACACGTTATCAGCACGAATTGCTCATTTCATGATCTTCTACGTCAAAACTATATAAATTATAAGCAGACAATGAGATCAATTACAATGAAAAATGTTTTGGATGATAATACAAAGATAAGTTTTACATCCATCTAAACCCATTCATACTTTCATATATTTGCATTAACTTTATGTGCAGTGTTTAGTTAAAATATTTTTTTCAATTGTATCTAGTGAAATAAAGAACTGAAAAGGTATGTCTTTATTTGCTACATCTCTTATAGAACAAAGATAATATTCCAACGTATATATATATGTTCCGACCGTTTACATATTATGTTAGATAATTATTAAGGTAATTTAGTAATAATATTTTTACCATCACATGATTTATTTCATTGAAAGTAAAATTATCAAATATGTAGGCGAATTTACGGTATCTTGTAAATTTGGCATTCGAATATACACTCAATATAAACTCATTATAGTTATAATTTATAATAGTCACGGTTATGCATTAAGCCTTAAATATTTTTGCTGGAAACATAAGGCTCATTCCTCCGTATTGGATTTTTTTAGGTAAAGTTCTTATAGTCTTTGAAATATAAGTGGTTATAGGTTATCTGCACATTTTCCCTAATTAATTTGTTAAAATATAAAAGTGATTGTATCATTTTTTTAAAATAATAATAATAAAAATGGCATATATCCTAACTAGCATTTTTGTTGCATAGGAACTGTTTCAAGATTGAAATAGTTATATATGTCTTCTTGAAAGTTAATTTGCTTATGCCTATAATTATGAAGTAATAATATTTTAAAGGCTCGAGTGCGAGTCCTAGTGAATTTTGGCCTATTATGCCAAAGATTAAGGGTAAGACGATGGGTTCAAGTCCCAACGCACTATGTTGATGAAAAGACGTTGGATTCCAATTCCAACGCATTATGGCCTGGCATGCCTTTATATGGGTAAGGCATTGAGTTTTNTTGAGGGTAAGACGATGGGTTCAAGTCCCAACGCACTATGTTGATGAAAAGACGTTGGATTCAAGTTCCAACGCATTATGGCCTAGCATGCCTTTATATGGGTAAGGCATTGGGTTTGAGTCCTAATGCACCATATTGATAATAATAATAATAATAACTAAAGAAAAATAATGTATTTTTCATGAAAAAGCATGAAGCTTGTCCCACTTGATTTGCTCCACTCTTGAAGTGAATGTGATAGCAGTGCATGATAAGTCTAAATAAAGACAAGTGATTGGCCAATGAATATGGGCGAGCAAAAGGCCAAACTAATAATAGTTATCACTATGGTAATTGTTGGTACCCAATTTTTCCTATATATATATATATATATATATATATATATATATATATATATTCAAAATAGTGCATATGCATCATAATTTGATTTATAAGCATACACAAGTATTTTTCATAGTTTTCTATATTTTTAAAGATTTTAAACCAATTTATTTCTGTATTTTTATTGTATAAATATCCAATAATTATCCTCCAAATTATTTTATGATGATTTAATCATCTAAACTTATCATTTATACCATAATGAGGTTTTAAATATTTTTCAGTGCATTTCTTATAATTACATTTGCATTTTTAAGGCTAAATTGCACATTTTGTAATAATAGCCCACATGCATATATAATAACATTATTTATGCATAAAATGACTTTTTATATTTTTATAATGTTAAGTAGTTATTTTTAATCACTTTAGTGCACAAATGATATTTTTGATATTTATTAATTACTTTTATAAATTATTTATTTATTAAACATTGGGTATTTAAAGTCTGGCCCAAACCTTACCTATTTTCGGACCAAACAATGGCCCAAAGTACCTAATACGCTGGCCCAAATACCCCAGTCCAAACAAAATTAACCCAACTCTCTTAAACCCGGTCGCGACCCGTTTAACCACCCGATCCAAGACCCCTTTTAAATCGTGAGATCAACGGCCCACATTACACCCTCCCTTTTAATTACCACCCAAACCCCTAACCCTAATCACTTCCTACCGACCGCCGCCCTCAAATCCCACCTCCCTTCTCCCTCCTAAGAACCCTAGCGCCGCCTCCCCTAAAATCTCTCCTAATCCCACCAGACATGGGATTATACGGCCATTTCTTGCCATATACTACTCTTCCCTGGTACTGGATCCTTCTCTATACCGTTCGCCTAAACATGGCAAGCGGATCTCATCAGAATCGAACCAAAGTCGGTTCAACTTCTTGACCTTTCTGCTATTCCGTCTATGTTCATTCTTGTTCTATTATGGGTATGAATCTCTGTTGATTCTTACTTACCCTAAAAATTAGGGTTTTCAAATCTCTTTTAATCGAAGCAATATAGGTTCAATCCTCTGATTTTAGGTATCATTATGTCCATATTCACTCGATATTCTACTATGGCCTGTTTTTATTTTTATTTCTGTCAATATTTGTCTTACCCTAAAATTAGGGTTTTCAGATTTTTCTTAAATTAGTTCGATTCTCTGATTTTAGTACTATTTGTGTCTCTATTCATCTTGTGCTACTTCGTTTTTGAATATTCTGTTAACATTAGTCTTTTTTTTCTAAAATTAGGGTCTACCGGTTTACTCTCCTAATTTGATTTTTAATCAATTTATGTGTTTCTTTCCTTTTATGGTCTGATTGTTTATATTTCCTTATTTATGTGTTTATTCTACTGCTATATAAACTGATCCCCCTTCCCTTTTGTGGGGGGGAATTTTGGGAATCACTATTTTCTCACTAAAAACTGAAGCTTTCTACTCTATATTAGTTCACTATTCTATTCTGTTTGGCTCTTGGCCGACTGAAAGCTAAGGCCACCGGATTTTTACTCTTTTGACCTCTCTTGGGTGTGAGCACTGTCTGGGTTCTTGAAACCCTTGGAAATTGACACCTTCAGGGTTCTGGGTCCTTACTGCAATCTTTTCTTGTTTATCGAATAATAATTGGTTAGTTTCTAAACCTTTGCAATGTTTACTCTATTATATTAAGCATGTTCTCTGAAACTGCATAATCCAATGCATCTCTTTGACTATTTTCTGCCTAATTCTGCTTATTAGCTTAATGATGTTCTGCACTTAGCCTAATTAATTTAGACACAATGAAGCATGCTTAGTTTAATTCATGATGACTGGAATGATATGTTTGACTATATGGTTTGAGCCATGTTCCCTGCCTAATTCTGAACTTCTAACGACCAATTGGTATTATTAGTATGCCCTAACTTATTTAATATACCTTTAATCTGAATGTTGTATGCTCCTATGACTATGGTTATCACACTATGAACTTCTACTATGTACAACCTATACCCTTAATGAATTGTGATCTTTTGAAACTAATCTCCTTTGATTTAGTACCCTCCATGATATATGATCATGTTTGTGTAATACTATTTAAACCTAGGTTAGCATGATCTGACCCCTTTAATCTTAATTCAGTTGTAATAGCCTAATACTAGTTCATGTTAACTTGTCATCCCAGACTCCTTGTTCCTTGTCATAAGCCACCATGTCCAGTGTGTTAATTTGTTTTCTTTGGAATTCATTATGTGATTATCTTACAAGCTAGCAAATGCTTTCAAAACCTATTGCCCTATTACTATTTTTTATGGGTTGTTTCTTGTTTAATTCTGGGGCTGGCTGAAAGCCAAAGCCCTTCCCTAAGTCTCCTCTGTCAACCTCCCTAGTGTGAGTACTGCCCTGGGTTCTTGAAGCCCTTGGGAACTCTGACACAATAGGGTTTAGGTTTCTCTGCCACTTTTCCCTAATTGCTCAAACTTTTCCCCTCTTCTTACCCACTAGATTAAACCAGTTGATTTGTGTAAACGGTTATACTTTTGGAACTTTTGTTCAAACTATGGTTGCTGGATGTGGTTTGTTCTTTGTAAAATGGAGATTGGTTCTGGGTTGTTGAGAAACTGTATGGACATGAGAACGAAGGCCTGGCTAGGCTGGGTATATTTTGGGCCTGCTGTAGGCCCACTATAGCTATTCTATAATTCTGTAATTTATTTCATTTATTGGGCCTGTAATGACATTGTAATAACAATTGGGGTGTTAGTAAAATTGGAAAAAAGGGGGTTTATCTTAATACTTACATTGAAATGGGTAGAAATCCTGCCTATAGGTGTTTTACTTTGCTCAAATATGTTCTGCTATTCTGTGTGTTAGATGACCTGCCTATAGGTGTTTACTCTGCTCAAATATGTTCTGCTATTCTGTGTGTTAGATGACCTGCCTATAGGTGTTTACTCTGCTCAAATATGTTCTGCTATTGTATGAGTTAGATAACCTGCCTATAAGTATTTAATTTGTTTGACATATTTTGCTTTCACATGCTAGAAACCGTGCCTATAGGAAATTAAATGACCAATGTCTCAATGTGCATTATAGCATACTCATTAGGCACTATAGGATTCTGTTAATTTACATGCTACCTAATATGCAATTTAAAAATCCTGCCTATAGATCTTAATTATTGATTATAGAAATCATGCCTATAGGATCTAAAATCAGTCATAATTATTGATTATAGAAATCATATCTATAGGATCTAAAATCAGCCTTAATTGTGACTATAGAAATCATGCCTGTAGGATCTAAAATCAGCCTTAATTGTGACTATAGAAATCATGCCTGTAGGATCTAAAATCAGTCTTAATTATTGATTTTCTTGTTCGTTTCCTTTGAGTGCTAATGTTGAACTTTCAACATTGTATCATTGTCACTATTAG